GGGAAAAAAATAAATTCTTTAAGTCAAGTCTGAAGAGCGCCGAGATGGTTAATTATATGCAAACCTAACCAGGCTCCAATCTGAAGCTATGCGCTTATTACCGCGCGCGATGCCGCCACACTGGCTGCATTGTAATAACATTCAAAATAATTGCTGCAACTTCTTGAATTGACAAGACTCACTGTGATCTGGCATGGTCTTCTCTACATTATCTGCATCAAGTTCTTCAAGGCTTAGAAACTCTGTCAAACGTTTCAGGGAAACTCGGGCCTAACGAACAAAGGGATTATAACATTCAACATTTTGGATTAGTAGAATTCCACCAGTATACTGATGCAAATGCTGTGATCTGATTGGCTCAGCTATCGTTAAATATCGGCCATTAGTAGAATTCTACTAATATACTAATGCAAATGCTGTAATCTGATTGGCTGAGCCATTGCACTCCACCAGCCATTAGTGTGCAGTAGCTGCATGTCATACATACGAAGTGGTGACTTTTTCTCGTTTTCGTAAGTTTCGAGGAAACATTTAGAAAACGATGGGAAACTCAATCCCGGAGAGGACTAAAAAAGGATATTCATGGTTTATTAAAGAACTATAAAAACTCGAAATTGATTCACGAATAAAAAGACACGATGAGCGTGCGTACCAAAGTGCAAAATTCAAAGGACAATTCATTCCTTGTGATTTTTGTAAAGCGTGAAGTTTAATATAAAGTAGAGAAATAATAAAAAACGGTCATTTGAAGGAAATTTTAGTTAAATTTATACTAAGACATTTAGAATATTTGCTCTCGATTTTTGAGGTTATAGCTGATTCGTCTCTTGGGCCTCATCAACTATTAATTTACATCTCAAGTAAATACAGAAAAGTAAAGAAAAGAATTTTAGCATAATGAAAAAAACACTGTCTAATCAAATAAAATAAAAGACGGATTAAAAAAATTCAGTTATTCAAGTTAACTAGGTATATGCAATAAACACTTACAAAGTAACAGGTCACACTTGACAAGGCCTCGGACAACAATATGGAATTTAACAACTTGCACATACAAAACGTAATTTATACTTCTACTTATTTTTGTGTACCTATGATGTTAGATATTAATAATAATTATGATTTATTACCTGGATCAGGCTAATTATCACATTCGGAAGCATGACCAGTGGAAAACGTAGAATGTTGAAGAGCGAAATTGCAACAAATGCTTTGGAAGCTGTTAGCTCATTGCCAGTCAGCACATAAATGGCGAAGGTAGCTATTGACACCTGTCATGTTAAACAATGAAAATTAACCATTCCCTGCTAGGTCAATCACCGAAAAAAGTACCAACACTGTATCCTTCATGGTTTGTACTGTGTAAATTAGTATTACAAGTCTTCGACAAAAAGAAAACCACTTATTAACCGAGAGTGAGGCCTTTATGAGGAAATCTCAAACCGAGACCTTGCCGTATTGACCAAGTGATAGCGAGGTCAATACGGCAAGCCGAGGTTTGGGATTTTCCCGTAAAGACCGAACATTCGAGGTTAATAGTTGTTTATTATATGGCCTTTTTGCTTTGCTTTGGCAGACCCGTAATCAGCCCGTGGGCATTACGGGGGAATATTGCCCTAGAATTGGCCAATCAGAGCACGCGTTATACAATATCGGCAACAAATACAAGCCATATAATAAGCTAAAGGATGAATATTACACAATAAATTATNAGAGCAGATATGAGACATAGGGAAGGAGGCATTGGCAACCCTACGAGCACCTACCACCGGAGGCACTGTTACACTGAAGCAGTCAGTGGAATACTTACCAACCCTGATACCTACCAAAGGGAGGATGAACAGGGAAAAAGCTTGATAATTCAGCAAGTCAAATGCCCTTACTTGAAGGCCAACAAGTGAGCAAATGGTAATGCCCCCCATCCCCCAGGAAAGGGCTGAAAGGTGGCCCCTGAACTTTGTGGAAGGACTACTTCTGACTGGCATCATTTTGCGGTTAACCTTGTTTTAATTACATTTAGCCACATTAACCATGCCAAAAAGAAAGCTACCTACCTGAAGTTTTCTTGCAACTCGGCTGATTAAGATATTTGATGGAATCAAGAGCAACATGACCCCCAGACCAGCCAGAATGGACACACCCATTGTATTATACAAGAAATACAATGAAATGATGATTTGGAGCGGACCTGACCACAAGACGTTTACATAGGTAAGAAGATCCATGAGTCGCTGGGCATCCACTGACATCAAGTTCACCATTTCTCCAGCTGTAGATTCTTTACGTGAATTGTTATTCAGGAGAAGAGCCTAGACAATAAATTAAGTAATAAATAAAAATATTAGTTTATAATAATTTGCAATTATTATTATTCCAGACAACATGACGTTCAGAACAGGAAGTCTGACAGTCTACGAAGCAACTGTAAATCCAGCGATTGAAACCTTATTTTTTAAAATAAGCATTCAATATCCACATGTAGCCTTCCAAAGTGACAGAGGAGACTCAGAGCCCAAGCAGGCTTGTACATTGTGGAATGAGGCTAATCACTTTCAAGTCACATTTAAAACATCTTGACTTTGATAACAGTAGCCAAATGCAGAGAGCTTTCACACCCTCAGAAAAGAAACATTTAAGAAGACATGGAGATTACAGAATAAGATCATTAGGCATTAATTGGTGGAAATGCTTTAAATCTCACAACATTGACATGAATAAACCCAATTAAGCACNATGGAAATACGGTCATCAGGTGCCTTTGGCATGCAGGATCTCCACTTTAAATTAAACGACCATTAATTACAAATATCTATACAAGAAATACATGTAAAAATGGTCTTGAAAAACTCACTCTGTTTTCTGCTTCTAATGGTGCATCAGGGAAGAACTTTAAATCAACTGACGTATTTACCAGGGCTGCCGTCAACTCTGTACCCTTATCTATCTCATCTTCTCTACAAAAAGATGCATGGTCACAACACAGAGCCTTGAGACTACATGTAATGGTAGCCAACTTGTTACAGACTACTAAAAGACTCAAATTTGGCTGGAATGTTTTGCATTTCTGTGAGCTTCTTTGTTTAGTGACTGCTATTCTAACAGAGCTTGCCATGTAATATTGTACAATCACCTTAGAGCTAGTCTTACAGAATTTCCATAGTGTGACATAGTGCAAGTGACAAAAGGTAAATATCTAATCTATAATCAGATCTATAATGTTCAAAATTCTTGATCACGATGGGTTCTCTGTGTACCTAATTGTCACGTAAGCGATGCACAATCATGTGGGTGTCCAATTACTGGTATCCAATTACAACTTTCTATCAACTATGTCAATTATACAATTGCTTTAATGGCTTTCTTCTTAATGTTTCCTGTAGTTTTTAAAGCTTATGGAAAGTGCTGTTGACTTTTTTGCAAATAAGAAGTTCTCAAAAGACTGTTTTTAATTTTGAAATTTGTTATAGATTGGATTACTTAGCAATTGGACCTCATGTCATACAATTCAGGGAGTAATTGTGCTTATAATTTAAAATCAGCCTCGCACTTTGAACTCATCTGATTTTGAAATGACGCAGAGGATTACTCCCTGAATAGAGGGTGGTAAAGGGGGGTACAGATCACGTTTCACGGAAAATAAAGCAGCCCTTTCACAATTCATGAAAAATACAACATTGGCATTTCATGCTTCATGGAAAATAAAAGAGAACGTTTTGGAAAATCACGGTTCACGGCGACTATGGAAATCACGATCCACAAGGAAAAAAATGGCTATTTCACATTTCACAGGAAATAAAAAGGGCCGATCACAGGTCACGAAAATACCCTTTACCACTCTCTGAATTCATGTACACTCCACTTGATCCAATTACGATTACAGTCAAACCTTCGGTTGCAACCACCTTTTGCAAGCAACCACCTCTCCTCAACGACCAGTTTTCCAAAATACCAAAAGTTTCCTAGTCAAATCACTACATCGAGAACCTCTTGCAAGCGACCACCTCTCGTAAGTGACTGAGACCACTTTTAGAGTTAAAAGTTTGAAATTTTCTCTAGTTTCTAACCTCCTATAAGTGACCACTTGACAGATACTGTAATAGAGAGGAAATTGGATAATGAGCTGTTGTAACATTATCGTATTCCTGGGTAGTACAAGAGACGGAAATTTTTCAATGGAAGTTTTTCTCGCAATTGACTTTTCACGTGAATAAAACATTAGCATTGGCATTGGTGCATGGGGTAAGTCTCGGCAGTTACCATATTCTAATGAGGCAAACTTTTGACCCAGTATGGTCTAAACTCTCGTAAGCAGCCAGCTAGGCTTGACATATTGGGTGGTCACTTACGAGAGGTTTGGCTGTACTTACCTCAACTTAAATTTAACCCAAAGCTCTAATACCAACAGTTTATTTCTAAAACAAATGTCAACATCAGACATACATTTTATTATACATATTTCTTAAGATTCATATACGTCATTTTAAATATTAATGAACATCGACAGCTCTTGTCAAGACATTTAACTTACTCTTCATTGGTTAAATTATCTTTCAGCGGCACCACGCATGTGCTAGGGATGTATCCCTTTTCTCCACTGCTGATGCATTTCACATACAGCCACCAGTTCACATCCCTCCCTAGCACCTCAAACTTCTCTCCAAGTGCTACAGAAAGCTGTGCAGAGACATCTGGAGCTGTGTCTACAGCTTGCTGCATCTCAAGATTGTCGTCCTCATTTGGCTTGTGAACACTGATCCCTATTACTAGCAAATCGTTTTTGTCTGCAGCCATTGCTGCATGGATCACAAGTAAAAACCAGTGTTACCTCTGAAGGGAAACTAATTAAAAGAAAAATTGTAAATGTAATGATAGACAGATTTTTCTTACATGTTTACATCCTGTTGCCACCTGTTTCAGATCATGTGATGATTGATTTGGGAGTATGTGGTTACAGTTGCTCTGTTTCTACATACTTTCATATGCAATTGATCAGTTGTATGAGGCAAACTGTGCAATTGTTGTGAGCAGAAGTTCCCTCTCGTCTCTCACTGAGCAGAAAGAGAAGGGAATCTCTATCTCACAGGGTACAAACTTTGACATTTTCTTATGGATTGGCTATGGAATTGACGGACCATTAAACTGAATTTCATGGAGATTTGCCAGTCTTCAAAACCCAAACTCCTTCATTATGATCAAGGCATTAACCCGCATTAAGCATGACGGTGCACAAAATAATAAAAGTAAACAAACTGCATTTGATAGATGAAACAAATGGGAGAATAGAGCATATAAGTACATGTAACAAAGAAAAGCTATCATGCAATTAGTTGTTTTAAAGTATGAATCACTAAAATAAGAAAAAAATATCAATAATCGTTTTGTCTGCCAGTCTTTGGTGAAATTTGAAAGTGAGTAGCACTAAGCTAAGTTTCCTAATTTGTATCGGTTCGTTTTTTTTTTTTTTTTTTTTGGACAGGTGCAGAGATTATATATATACCTTACGCTTTGGATGACTGATTTTGCATACTTTTAATTAGTATGCTATCTTAAATACACATGAGGTTACAGACGTAAAACACAGTATAAAAAATCACTACCGACTCAAATAAAGGAAAAAGTGAAACTTTGAATCATGTTTTGGCGAGAGAGCGTGACCCGTACTTAACCTCGTGTTCCACACGCGTACGCCTCAGGTTTTATTGGCCATAACTACTCTGCTCTGTGCTTACCTCGGATCGCAGGATTCGAGAAATCTCCCTTTCCAGATTTCGCCAAGACAGCTGTAAGTCAACCAGGTTTAGCAAAAATCGCGTGCAGCTGGCAAACCAACAATCCTGGGAACGAAAACTTATATGTCAATACCTGATCGACCGATCTTCGTTTTTTCATCGCCAGATTCCGAAGCTTTCCGAAGTTATTTCGAGCTCCACCCATACCCTGGCGTGCTCAGCATAAACACGTGTGCTGAACCTGCTTGAGGTCATCGTGCGTACGGTAGGAGGAGCTGGCCGGAGGCGGGACGACCGAAGGGACGCCGTAGTTTTGTTGCTTTTGTTTGGGGTTTTCTTAGTAGCTGCGATCAAACTGATTCATTTAGATTTCGCAGTTGCCTTTATTGATTGAACCCCGGGATTTAACGGAGTAGATTTCGAAAGCGAGGCAACGCATTTCCTTGTGTCAGTTTCATTCTTGCTTGTTGTGTATAGATCCTCCTTCCTCACCTGGCTAAAGGTCGTCTTAATTTGCGGTAAGTTCACTTTTCTTTAGCATTTCCTCTTATCGAAGCTCTCAGTTACAGTACATGTTTTGCTGAGTGGCCGTACTGTGCGTATAAACAGCAGAGGAGCTGCAAGTGAACGCCGATCACCGCCTGTCCACCGACAAGCTGTGGTATAAAATTATCGGTTTCAATTTTGCTTGTGTGAGGTGGCCAAGCTAAAATGTTTAAAAAATTGCTTCTTCATTTTCACTTTGCAATCTCTTAGTTATTATTTATTAGTATGTAACTTGTGTGTTTTTTCACTACTTTAATACATGTACATGTAAGTCACAATTGCCTGCAGCAGCCAAGCTCTTGACTTGTCACACAATGATAAACAACATGTACCAAGGCAGCAATCGAAATCGATTTAGCGCCATTTTCAGAAAAGGGAAAGCAGTAATTGAAAGTAATTAAAAGAGAAGATTTACACTCGGTATTGCTTCAGTTTAAGCGGTTAACTTTTTACATTTAGAGCTTAGTTATGTCTTTAGCCTTAGCCCTCTGCGGCTTGTTCTTTGTCTGTGCGCTGTTCTGGTTACAAAGTGTTATGCTCATTGTCTATGCATGTATGACTTGAAAATGTCGTTATGTTTACGCCGTTAGTATTGTTTGTTGTCGTAAATGATTCGCTATATCCTTGAAGACAAATGTTACCATGAGCAGTCAAAATATTTCCATACATAAGCTTAGCTTACATAATGTTTGTGAAACCGCAATCCTTCGCTAAGTTTGCTCCGTCCGAGAGTCCAACCTGTTCGTCTTATCGAGTTAAGCTTACATGTAAGCTTCATGTTTAATTCCTTGGCTTGCAATTCAAAGCGTTTCTTTTTAATTAAGTGATNACACGTAAAGAAAGGAAATCATAACCACAATGTGAAGGTGTTTGGATATCTGATCTTCATTAGCATTGATTTTTTCAATGCAATTTCTCTGTTTTCTCCTAAGTTTTAGTTTTGATTGTTAAGATAAACAAAACACTCAAGACAGTGTTGACCACATTGGCAAACACTTTGAAGTTTGTCAAAAATACTCCTCTGTTTGTTACATTTTGAACAATCGAGACTTGTACATGTTTGGAAATATGGTAAAGCACAGTCTGTCATGTGAAATATACATGTATCACTGAGACTGGGTCTTTGCAACAGTTTATATTAAAGTTTCTTTGTGAAACTAAAATCAAATATGTATATCTCAACGTCTTTTTCGTTTATTTGTTCTGAAAGATAACATCTTTTAGT